CTCCCTTGAGGGACTCCCAAAAGACACCAAACCAAAACAAAAACCCTTTTGGGGGTAAGAGGTTCTTGTTTTGGAAAAAGGGGGGCCTTCAAATCCCTGTGACTGTTGTCGTTGGTTCCCCGAAAGGGGAAAGTTGTTCTGCCCTAAAATGTGAAATTTTTCACATTTGGTTAAAATTTGTATGGGGAACATATGTTCTGGTTTTTTCCCCTGCGCCTTTGGGGCCTTGGGGACCCAAAAAAGACCAGGGCGGGGTCAAAAGGACTGGGGGTTTGGTTAAAATGATCATATCTTTTTCTAAAATTTTTATGGGGGGGTTTTTTCTTTTGGGGGGGTGTTGGGGGGGGGGGGGGGGCTTTAGACAGGTAGCATTGCATTTTCTTTTTCTTTTGTCTTGTTGAGGGATCAACAATCTGGATGGAGCATATAAGCCTCTGCCTGGCGCGACATGAACAAGGCAAGGAAGGAGTGGTGTTATATGGTTTGGGTTTTTTTTTGTTTTGAGGATCTGGCCTTCCGACTCGAAAGGATTATTCAATCGATGCCTATGATTGATGATATCCCTCCTGGCCTTTCTCACATTTTAGTTTATTTTTTAACTGTTACTTGGCCAAGGATTGAATCCTTGAGTCTATTTTTATTCTTTATTGTATATTTTTTAACTCACCGTTGGAGGGAAAACACCGGACTGCATGCCCTTCGGCCCTGCTGCATATAGCCTTCGTTCACATATGCATCTTACATTACTCTTGCTGAAAATAAATAGGGTTTCGTATTTCGTTGGTCTGGAGTGTAGTGCTTGGTTTAAGTGAGGGGTGAGGATGCGCCGTTTTTATAGTCGAGGCTGCCTCCAACTATCAATCAGAATAATACATATAAAAGTGCGACCCGATAACCTATTCCAAAGTTGGGAACATTGTGCCAAGCACAACACATTGACTGGGGCTGAGCTAACGTTTTGGGCAGAAGACAGAAATTTTGTGCCGGCAGGGCAGATCATCTGCTAACTGGTCTGGGACATGCTGAAACCTAACTTTCCACTAACAAACCATGGTTTCCAATAAAAACCGTGGATTTAACAAAAAAACTTGATCTCTACAAAAAGGTTTTACACCAACGTCCCACCCTTCCACTCGGCATAATTAATGTCCAAACCCTCAACGCACGGCCCAACAAGCTCCGCAAAGCGGCCATAAGCCTCCGTAGCCTCATGAGCCTTACAAGCATCCTTGCTCACCTAGCATTCAAAAACAGATACATGCCTCTTGTCATCAAGGTCCTGCAGCCACAGATAACACAGCACTCCAGGCTCATCCCTGACCACCGCATCGATGAGAGCTTTGGAGGCATGTGGCAGAAGATGCAGATGTTTCCCCTTCATGTGCGAGTCGGCCCGCGGGATGGGCAGCTTCTCGGGCCACGCTTAGTCGGGGCGGCGCAGGTATCGGGCGTAGTGGGTCGATGCTGTCCTCTCTGCTGTTGCTCCGTCTCCGCCGACTGCGGTGGGAGGGGGAGGGACAGCGGCGATGTATGTGGGGGGAGGATTCGGAGGGGTAAATTACGGTGGTGCGCAGGGTGCGGGTACCAGTATTATTATTCTCATCGATGGTCTTGCGGGCGGAGATGGCAGTTGTGGGGAGGATGGTGTTGTCGAGGAGCTATATGTATCATAGACATGGCAGTTTTTTTAGTGTCAATGATCCGGGGTTTGTCAGGATCAGGAGGAAGGAGGGGGTTCGACAACCTGTTGCGCTTCCGCTCCAGCAGGAGCGTTGGATTCTGTGGTGATTACTTTGGCGTTCTTCGGGAACTCCATTTTTTGGATTGTGGGGGGATATGAAGGGAGTCAGGTTTTCTTCTTTCTCTCCCTCTCTCCATCGCGGAGTTTCAGTATCATACCATAAAAACTCGAATAAGCGGACCGTGTGCTGGGTAATGAGTTTAGAGTTTGGAACACGGGGATGTCAGAAATTAGTGTCTAAGAAAATTTGGCAGTCTGAGACAAGTGCTAAACTCAACCTTATATGTTTAGTAGTCCGAGACAAGTACTAATCTCAACCTCATATGAGATGAAAGTCAACCACACAACCTACACGACAGTGTCTTAATATTATGCGATCAGTGTAGTTATGCTAGGCGGAGACAACATGTAAAGACTCAGAGTTGTCTAAGCCAACCAAGATTCATTTCTGTAGACAGAGATTGTCTAGGAAGGCTCGAAGTGTAAACTCGTTTTGTTTATGACTACTAAGAGTAAAGTAAAGTAGGTAAAGTAGAATAGAATCGTAAAACAATATTATATTGTTAAGGTCACTTCTCCATTGCTTGATGATGTCTAAAAGCTTAGGAGGTACTTCAATATTTATATTCTATGTATGAGTGTTTGTGGACTACATCTATCTATTACACAACTAGGTACTTCTCTAGTTATAACTTGCAACGTCAGGTATTCTTCAAAGGTACGAACACCTGGAGACCCTGAAAATTACCACACCTTTTTCAGTAATTACTGTATTTCTAACTAGGAACTATACTGTTCCCAATAGTAATTATCTGATATTTAGAGTCATTAGACTTATGGCCTAGTTTACAAGTTGAACTGGATTGGCCCTAATTGTCTCTCTTATTGATGAAATGATCAGTTTCATCTGCGGTATAACGTGTTAGCTAGGTGCTAATCACGTTATCGGTAATGAATACAATAGTTAGCAGGTGGCCTGCTCTTCCGGAGAGGAGGCGAGAGCTGAGAACTAAAGGAGGCTTTGAGGGTGTACTGAGGAACAAAGAAGTAACCGTTCAACCAAGTATATTGAAATACTGTCT